CTGACAAAATTGAATTATTTTAGCTATATTTAGTTTGTTTTTGAACTAAAGTCTCAATTATTTTGCGAAACATTGTCAAAAATCACAAAAAAAATTAAAATTAATTATATTTTGTTTGTTTTAGTCGATTTAATTGGTTTTTGACCAAAAATTTGTCAAAAATAAGCGAAAAAATCGCAAAAACTGGTCGGAAATATTATTATTTTTACTTTATTTAAACTTTTAACCATCTTTTTCAACTAAAAAAGTTCAGTTTTTTGCAAAATTTTTCTAAACCAAAGTAAAAAATCCCCAGTGAATCGAAAAAAATTAAATAATTTATTTTCAGCTGGAAACGCAAGTATTTTGCATAATTTCGTTAAAATCGAGCCAAAAATTTACCAAATTAAGCTAAAAATAGTGTAATTTTTGAATTTTTCGAATAATTAAGCATATTTTTGAAATATTTTTCTATAATTAATAATAATAATAATAATAATATTAATAATAATAAATGCCTTTATTAATTAAATAGAATAAATAATTGGATTTAATTTAATTTTAGAACCAATTATTTTGCAAAATTTTGTCAAAACATGTCCAAAAATCACAAAGTTTGGTCGAGAATAGTGTTATTTTTACTTTTTTCAAACTTTCAAGCACGTTATTCAAATAAAATTTTACTTTTTTTTGCAAGATTTCTCTAAAATAAAGCAAAAAACATGTTTTCATTGCGTAATTGTAAAAGTAACAAATTTCAATTATTGATCTAGGAAATTAGGTCAAAAGTCACTATTTTGAATTTTGCACGTTTTTCAGTGAAAATCTCAATTATTTCGTTAAATTTCCTTAAAAATAAGTCGAAAAATCAGTAGCTAAAAGAGATTTTGTTGAAAAAATCGTTGAATTGAGTCGAGAATGACATTATTTTTACCATTTCCAAGTGATTTGTACATTTTTTAGCTGAAAATGCAGTTATTTCGTAAAATTTTGTTAAAATAAGATACAAAAAATAAAGCAATATTTAGCTTTTTTGACACTTTTTTAAATTTTTTCTAAGAATTTTGTTAAATTATCTGAAAAATTAGCAAATTTAGTTCGTTTTTGAACCAAAGACTCACTTATTTTCGCATATATTATCAAAAAATGCTTCAAAATCACAAAACAAATCGAAAATAGTATACTTTCAAGCATTTTTTCAAATAAAATTGCAGATTTCTCTAGCTAAAAAATTACCAAATTTGATCGGAAGTGATATATATTATTTTACTTGTTTTAACCGATTTAACTAGTTTTTGAGCAAAAATGGAGAGAAAAACCACAAAATTTGATCAAAAATAAAACTTTCAAGCATGTTTTTTAATTAAATTTCAGGTTTTTATTCTTTTTCACCAAACGAAATAAAAATAAATTAAAAACTTACTAAACATAATTAATTGGGCGATGGTTTCTTGAGCATCAAGATTCGGATTATACAAAGTCACATCTTGGGTCGACTCAGCTTCAAGCATTGCAGTAGTAACGACATCAGGGGGGTAGCAAAAAGGCCCCTCTGAGTGTCTTTTGAGCTCCAAAGGGCTCAAAACGTGTCTTTCAACCAACAATCCCGGACAAACCCTCACCAAAGCTTGATTCACCGTTTGCATAATTTGTTCAAGAAAGTAGAAACAGTATTGTGAGGAATTTTTTGGCCCCCTTATCTTAATCTCAATAAATTGTAAACCCACTTCGTCCTCCTCCAAAGTAATAAGACTTTCAAGTTCAGTGTTGCACAATTTTGACCCCAAATGCCATTGGTACAAATCCATATCGCTGTCATTGTTGCTATAATTCGCCAAAATCGCTCTTCGAAACTCAACTTGAAGGTGGGAAAAAATCGATTTGAGCTGATGGTGAGTCCCTGGGGGGGTGTACAGCCGCCAGCCCCCATATTGCGCCCCCTGGCTCGCATATCTGGGGTCTTCGGGGTCCCATAACCCGTCAAGAGTACCCACATGGTTGTAAACGGGGAATTCGTACTCAATTTCCCCCTCAATGTCACACTAAAAATTAAAAAATTGGTCAAAAATCACTATTTTTGCATTTTGCACGTTTTTAGTCAAAAAGTCAATTATTTCGTAAAATTTCCTCAAAAATAAATCGAAAAATCAGTAAAGGGGAAAAAATCGATAAATTGAGGCGAAAATGGACATTATTTTTACCTTTTCCGAGTGTTTTTGGACATTTTTCAGCTGGAAATGCAGTTATTTCGCAAACTTTTGTCAAAAATAAGGTAGGAATTTACAAAAATGAAGCAATTTTTGGTTTTTTTGACACTTTTTTAAGCTAAAATGTCTAGAAAATTACCAAATTTAGTTCGTTTGAACCAAAGACTCATATATTATCAAAAAATGCTTCAAAATTACAAAAACAAATCGAAATTAGTCGAAAATAGTGTTATTTTAACTTTTTTCAAACTTTCAAGCATGTTTTTCAAATAAAATTTTAATAATAATAATAAGAATGATTTTATTTTTTTGCAAGATTTCTCTAAAATAAAGCAAAAAATCCTCACATTACGTCGAAAATTATATATTATTTGTCTTTTTCGAGCATTTTTTTTTTCGTGTAGAAACGCAATGATTTCGCATAATTTTGTTAAAAACAAGCAGAAAATTTACCAAATTAGTGTAAAAATTGTGTTATTTTTGACTTTTTCCAGTGATTAAAACCGTTTTTAAGATAAAAATCAAATTTTTTTCAAAAAATTTGTTTAAAATTGACTGGTTTTTGAGCAAAAATTAGTCAAAAATAAGTGGAAAAATTGATCAAAAATATAATTTTTTTAACCATGTTTTTCAACTAAATATATCTCAGTTTTGTGCAAAAATTTTCCAAAACAATGCAAAAAATCCCCACATTAAGTCGAAAATTGTATAATTTTTTCTTTTTTCAAGTGTT